ATAAACTCTTGGCAAAAAAACCTCTTCTTTCTTCTGCATGCTGTTCTCATGCCAGTTTTATTTTACTACAAGAAAACCTTGTTCAGGTTGAATAATTTTTATATTAACAATATAACACTTCCCTCTTGCTAGAATTACTTGCTGTAACCTGTATTTCTTTCTACAACTATGTCTGATGTAAAGTTGAATCAGTGGTGACAATATTATGAATAAATGAAGAATAACAAATACAGGAACATTCCAGAGGTTGTGAAAATGTTCTTTTCTACTGAGAAAACTGTTTGCTCATCCATGCCATGGTAATGTTTATGCTTTAGTAATATAAATTCTTGTGCACAAGCAACACTGCTTTCCACTAGTCCAGAAAAAAAGGAGCCAGCTGTCACCAGTGAGGGGGTCTCTGTTAGACCCCAAAACTGCCTGCTCCCAGGCAGTTCTTGGCAACAAGGTACACTTGCAAGCCTTGCCCGGATTCAAGCTTTTTGCTCTTTTGTGAAATCAGGCTTGCATGTACCTTATGAGCCAGCAGAGAAGAGAGACCGAGAAATGCTGTTGAGGAGATTCCATAGAATCTTTATTTCTTCTACGAAGGGGATCCTGTCCAGCAAATCCAATGGGTGGGGTTCTAAGGCGACTTTTTATAGGTTTTAAGGGTTTTGTATTTGAACCAATAAGCTACAGAATTCTATAACTAACCAATCTACAAAAGACTTTAGGGGAAAAGGAACCAATTATCTAAGAGAAAAATGGACGACTAAAATTACAGAACGATAACACCGGGGTCTACAGGGAGGCAAGAGGCTTCTTGGTATTAGTCACTCTAAGTAAACAATTTCTTATCTAAGGTATTGTTTTCCATGGGGCCCTATCTTGGGAGCTTGCCTTTTCAGAGATGGTTTCTGCTCCCTCTACAGCCAGCCTGGATGTTCCTTTTCTTTTTTTCCCACAATTGCAGGTGCTCTTTTTTAATGTCAACACCCCCAGGCCTATCTGCCACCCCAAATTCACATTTAAGCTTCTGCCATGTATGAACTGGCCGAAGTGCACAGCCCCTCATTCCCAGATATTCAAGCTTGATGATTCACAGGCAATAAAATGTGACAGGACTTTTCACCAACAAACGAACTGCAGGGCATCATAATCAGCAGGCAAGGCAGCTCTAATAACTGGGTTACAGCGTAAGGAGATAAACTCAAATGGAGCAGAACATTTGTAAGACAAGAAATGTGAGATGCTATTCAGCCTAAAGCACCACTGGTGCTATACAAAGACATCCAACTTACACAGCTTTTTTTCCCCTTTGGAAGCAAGATTCCTTTCAACTGCCAGTTAAAGATGGTCTGAGCAGAAAGGGAAAAAGAATGGCAACAGCTTACAGCCCCTAGCATGACTACTTCCAGCTTCTTTTCCCTTTTCAGTTGCAGCAAACTGCAGTCAGACAGATAATGGAGGGTTTTTTTTGTTGTTGTTGTTGTTTTAAGTTGTGATGTTAGGATAATGCTGGTAATCAGTGTTTTCAGACTCGTTGACAGGACACATACCAAGCAGCCAATATCCCAGCTGCTGCCCCGATGCAGAAGCTGCCACGTGCTTGGAGGCTTGGACAGAACCCACTTGGCTCTGGCATCAGCTGCAGATGAGTTAGTGCTAGCAGTAAAAACACTGTCCCCCCAGAAGGTCACTTGTCCCTAAATGCTGCTTCTCAAAGGACACCTGCCCTGTACCTTTTCCTAAGCTGTGCTAAACAAAAACGTTTGCTTTTGTCAAAAACACAAAGCCTCCTTCCTTCTGTCCCCCTTCTGGCAACCTAAGAATCAGTGAATTTATGACGCTGTTACTACAATGGCAAAACTCTCTTTGGTTTCAAAAAACTTCAGCTTCAACACTACAGTAGGATCCCTAATGAGAGAATCTCCCTGTAAAGCTATTTCTTCTAACACACTTAGGTCCATCAGCCACTGCTGAAACTCCTACTGGCTGCAATAGAGGGCAAATTTCTAAGCACACACCACAGGATGGCTTTTTTCAGCAGAAAGGATGTGCAGGAAGCTGTCCCGGGATCTGAAGAAAGCTTCCTCTGAGCAGCAGAAGCCCTCTCTGCACTGAGACCACAGCACTTGGAAGACCACAGCTTTTGTTGGTACTGTAAGAAATGCCATGGCTGGCACCCTGCAGCAGTGCTCTGAACCATTGGAGCAATAAAAACAACGGAGGAATTTGATTCTTCCATCAAGAAGGGCCCCACGTGTCAAGTCTCACTAGGGTAAGAAGTGTCAGGGACCTCAGATGAGCTACAGGCATGATACTAGACTGTCACAACCCTTAACTGATAGAAAATAGTGAAATCACAGTCAAAGGTGAGTTTTTGCAGTTCTAGAGATAAGGTCTGCACTTTGCATGGTAATATCTAACCCCCAGCAGAAGCTAGTGCAGAGGCCCACAAGAACCAAGAAAAGAGTAGGGCTGGGCAGATCCCTTGTTATCCCCTTCCCCACCCGTGCAGTGGGAGTAACACCACTTGCCAATGGTACAGGATGCTCTAAAACATTTCAAATACTTCAGTAATAAAGGCTGGACGTGCACTGCAGAGAGACAGATGGAGAAAGAATATCTGATGGTGTCAGCTGGGACTGGAATTTAGAGGATCACACTCAGCTGAAAGCCTTCACACAGGCATGAGTTGGCCCAGTATTTTTCTCCAAACTGTGAAGGAGTTTTCGAATCTATGGCACTTTTTCCTCCTCTTTGTATTCATACAGAAGGGTTTATCCTAGTTCATAATCTTTGCTGCCATTCCCTTCTTTTGTTGTCTTCACTTAGAATGTGCCTTAAAATGCACCAACTAAATCATGCAGCAAAACAAGGAAGAAGAAAACAACAGACAAAACGATGCTGTACCTACAACACTGCTAGCATCTCTGGTCTGCAAAAAACCCACATAGGCTATTTTGAAACCCAGGAAGGCAGGAAAAATTAGAAGATTACAGAAAAAGAATGCTATTTCCAAGGACACTGGTTGTGTTCTCAAACAGAAAACCACTATCTGATACTACTTTTTGGTTTTTAGTTGTGTACTAAAGTATAATGTATATATCTATAGTGTATATATATATAGTATATATATGTTAAGTATATTTAACTAAAGGTCATAACAGGAAGTCCTCACCTGATTTCTATGAAGACCATGAGTATTGCATGAAGAGGATTTTCTTTTAAACACAAGTCCTGCCTCAGCTGAAAGTGAATGGCTGTTTATTTCCCATAATACATAAATATGTATGTAAAGGTCTCAGCTAAAGAACTTGGAGAGATTGCCTATTTGCAAATTGCAAAGGCACAGGTCCTCAGACATTCTTCTACTAATTTAATACATACTGCTAATACTTAATAATGAAAGAATAACCCTTCCATATTAGACCTGAAAAATTTGTGCAGTTGGCTCCAACTCAGGTCTAAGACATGGATGGGAATAATGCAAAAACAAATTCTAATCTCTCAGCCTACTGGTATTTATTGCCTTGGTTGGCTGGCTTATGTTTCAGAGAAGAGAGGGACTAAATCAATGACAGATGTTATCCCAGCAAATTACAACAACTGGGAAATCGGCAAGAAGTCCTGAGGCAACAAGATGTGAGTCACTACAGGCTAAAAAGAACTTTTCAGAATTCCTCAGAATAAAGATATCCAAGGCCACATCCTAATATTCTTCTGAAGACAGCTGAAGGAAACTCTCCAGGCACTAAAACAGATGAATGGCTTCACCCTGAGACCGTCAGAAAGGTGCAACAAGATATGAATGCCTTTTAGTCCTAAAGGATGTGCCAGCAGCCCCTGCCCAGCATCTAGTTTGCAGCTATATTGTGCATCAAAAGAAGGCAAAGAGAAACCACTAAAAGTCTTTTCATGGCTCAAGGGTGAAAAAATGAATCCTTTCTGGCTCTGGTGGAATCAGATGCAGCCAACACACAGCATGGGAGACTTTTCAGCCTTTCTAGAAATATTAACTTTGGACTAGGAAAAAAAAAGCCAATCAAAAACCCTCACAAAAAAAAGCAACAACAAAAGAAACAAAAACAAATACCACCAAAAAAAAAGGCTAAAAAATCAAGCTTCAGTGATGTCCACTGAAACCTACATATACCCACAGGTAAGACAGTTCTTTTCTGTTCTTTTTCTGAACCCATCATCCAGACTAAACAATATCTGAACCAGTCTTTTTCTTATGCTGGTTGGAATACAACTCCTCAGCTCATGCAGGTCTCTGCCAAACTTGGCAGGCAGTGAAACACTGCCAGCAAGGTCAGACAAGCTTTGGAGGTCATCAAGTCTCTTTGTGGGCTTTTAAAAGGAATTTCATTCTCAAGGTGATAAAATTTCCCAATACCAGAGAAGATATATAGCTTTTTAGAGCTATCTAAGCCACAGAGCTTTGCTAAGCTCTAGCAAATCAAAATTGCTCTTAGCGAAGCCTCAAGCTGTCAAAAATGTTGTTCGGTCCTTTGATAGATCAGGTGCTGAGTGCCCACTTTTTATCACTGATGGGGACATGCCACAGTGTGCTTCTTCCTGGAACTCAAAGACACTGCTATGAAAAGGCTCATTTTGAAAAAAGCACTTTAAAAGAAGAAAATCTTCTCCCTTTCTGGACACTTACTGTATTTAGTGTCCAAGGATCCCAAATCCTCTAGGGGTATCACCCAAATCTCACAGCATCCAGCAGAGAGAAGACAACTTTACAGAACAGGATACAGCTAGTATGTGGGACTTGCCCTAAATCAGAGGCAATCAGTGACAAATTTAGAGCTGAATCTACATTCTCTTGGCATACAAACCCCCATCTTCATGGAAAGACCACCCATTTCTCTGTACCACAAAACAATGAGGTGCAAATAATAAGTCCAGTTTTGATCTAAAGATCTATAAAGCAGGCAGGGAAAGCAAGGCATAGCACAGTGACAACAGAATATACATGAAAAAAATAAAATGTCAGCACAACTTACAGGAGCTGCGTTGTTTTTCACTGTCACACTTGGAGTCGTGGCTCGTAGCGCCCCACTCACGCCATGGTAGTACTTGAAGCAGATCTTTGTTTCAGCTAAAAAAAAACCCAAAAGAGATATTTAGGATTAGAAAAACTGCCAGGGGTAATCTGCATGATCAGCTGCAGCTCACAGGCACAAGGCTGACAAGCAGTTAAATTGCAAATGGCTCATTCTGGCTGGATGGCACAACAGGATACCTCCTACCTCTGATTTTCCCCTTTGCCAGGGTGAAATTTAGAGTTTGGTTCATGGATTTAAAGCAGTTAAAATCCAAGCCTCTTCTGAGTAGAAGTTACCACAGATGACCTTACAGCACCTGTTTATCACCCTTTAGGAAGAAAAAACTTAAGGACATATAAATCTTCCTTGTTCAGACATACCAAGCACTAATGTGCAGAGAAATTGAGGAGCTTCTTAGGACAAGAGTGCATAGCTGCTCATTGACAGATTACAGTGTGCCAATTTGTTCTGGCCTTGGTCAGGGCAAGGACGTAGAACTCCACAGATTAACTGCTCTTCCAGTTACTACATTAAAGCATTCTCAGGAACAGCAGAGTACCACCAGACTCTGCCTTAGTGTATTTACACTGACTTCTAAAGATTTAAATTAGGTGAGTAACACAGGAAAGGTCATGATTTTTGACACTCATAGTGCTGCTTTTTGCAACACGCATTGACATTCAAATAAATAATATTGAGGGAAACTCATCTCAATAACTATATCGAGGCACAGAAGTGAAAACAGCTTCTTGTTAATCAGCCCCTCACAACCCACTTTCTTGTGTGCTACAAGAAGGAAAGAGTTCCAGCCAGCTTCTGTGTTGGTCTGTGACTACAAACAGATGCAAAGTGCTGCTGTTTGCCTACCTGCCTGGAACTGGTGACTTGCTGGAGCTCATCCTGGCCAGCTGGCTGGCACGCAAGAATTTTCTTCCACAGTAAACTAGATGTGAACTGGTCTGGTAGGTGCCTACGTACAGTCAGGACCCAGCAATTATGCAGTGCTACATATGTAACAGGTATGTTTGTGGGATCTGAAAAATGCCTGTTTAAATAAAAGCAGCTTTCACATCTTCTAGTTTTAATTGTATAATGACATGGAAATGTTCATCTGTTCCAAGATTTTCCTTAAGACCTTGCTTTGCAGCTGCAGCTGTAGCTCAAGGAAAACACCAGCCTTTGCTGGCAGAGCCACAAAAACACTCACTGTAACTACAGTGCCTATGTATGAAAACAATAAAAAATGCCATTTACCTGTTTTAACATACAAATTGCATTGCAGTTTTAATACCAGTAACAAACTTACTCAATTCACTGCAGCTGTAACAAAAAATGTTAAGAGCTGAGACTGCAACCATAGATTATGATGCTGTGACCTGCTGTTTGTAGATCCAAGAAACAATCATGTAGCACTCCAGGTGGAAGCAAAACTTGGGACATGAAAAGTGGTGAAGACCCTCAAAACCGCAGGACTGAATTGCTTAACCTGATACCTGCACAGGAGGATAACTGGAAAGAGAAATCCTGGTATTTTTTGAAAGGCAAAATAATTCTAGAAGTGTAAAGCCTGCCCAACTTTCACATGTCACTTGGGAAATGAAAAGCAAAGAGGTGATGTTCCCAAGTAGTTCGAGCATTACTTGCTTTCAGGTGGCTTCCCAGTCCTCTAGCCTCAGGAGTGCTGCAGTAACGTGCAGTCCATCAATGAGAAGCACAGTGCCAATGCACTTAATCTGTCACCATATTTCCCATCCCCACAGCCTTTTCTTCACCAGATGACCAGGTGCACATTTCTGCTCATACAGTGAAAATACAGCTTTTCCCACTATATCTACAATGTGTACGTGTCCCATTTACTTCATATCATTCCACAAGAACTGGAACAGAACACAGAGTCCTTCAGCACCTCCATGAGGGGCTGTGGGGCCCATCCTGGGGTTGAATTCATAACCATACCCCCAAATGAAATTCTGCAACTTCAAGAGATTTACTTGAGATGCCAGTGCAGCTGAGCAAGCGACCCTGTTTTTGCACCTGGGAGCAGCAGTTGTTTCCTTTTGGCAGCAACAAAAGCTGGATGAGCCTGTGGGACAGAAAAACTGCAAGTCCAGATTGTATTTTCATGTTGTAATTTTCTCTACAGGACTTTTAACAGCTCAGCAGCTAACTCATTTACTTGCTGAGAGGACAGCAAAAGCTGAGGATATCACAATAGCTAAAACATGCAGTTCTCACCAATTATTCAAATCTTAATTTTCTTCTCCCCTGGAGATTTTTAGCTACAGTTTGCATGGAACATTGAGAGCTTGAATAAGAGAAGTCTTTTTTTAAATAAAAAAAAATTAACTTTTATAGTTATTAAAACATAACTTCAGGTATTAGCTTGTATGACAATGTTCAGACCCCAAGGCAGGAAATCTTGTAGTAGGTTGACAAGTAGGAAATCAGTTACCATGTGCATCAGGAAAATTTTAAAAGAATCCATTTAATTCAACTAAAAGTATTAGAGAGAATAGAAGGAGAAAATATATCCATATGTAGTTAATCTGGGTACTAGTACCACTTTCAAGGACAAAGAATAACTAAGATGACTGATTATGTGTTTGGAAAGAGCTTTGTGGTTATTACAGGTTCCTCTCAGTTTCACATTACTATTTCTAATTTAATTTGCAGCCAAGCTGCCCACATACAGGTGCAAACCACAAGAAAGCAACTCAAGAGAGATGCAAGTGTCACAACCCAATCCAAAACAGTGGCAGAGCTGGAGCCATCAAGCAGTGGTAGAGATGGTGATTAATGAACATCAAAGGTTTCATTCAGAGAACAGATCTGAGAGAAAATGTCTTATAGAGGCCTTCATAGGTTGAGAAATTGCTCTAGAAGCTTCAGGGGAACAACATTTTCTTTTTTCTAGATTCCTCCATCCCCCTTCTGCTCATATTGTTTTCAGATTGAAAATATTATGCAAATGTCTATTTTCAATGGAGAGATGAAACTTTAGCAAGTATAAAGCTTACAAAATTATATACAATTTCTTTATGTGTAAAAGTACCATTAGGATCCTGTCGGTCGTTTTTTGGCCAAGAACCATTCTTTCCAAATAACATTGTTGGTGCCACGATTTTCATTGCAACAGAGTCCTAACATTTTAATCCATCTGAAGATTGCTCTTGCATTCCTGAATCACCTCTGAGACATTTCCAAAACAGATGCAGAAACCTGTGGGCTTGGTACCACTGCCTGTGCACATGAACAGAAAGCACTGGAAGTATTGGTAAGGCACTGATGTAAATTAACCATAATATTATCCAGCTGGCATTTGTAAATAGTATGTAATTAACGAAGACTGTTTGGATAGTATTGTAGATTAGCTTGTTCTGAAATAAAGGAGATGATTTAACTCTGTCCTGCTGCCCTAGCTACGTGGCAGAGTGCACAGGTCAGGAGCAGGTGTTGTCCAGTTAACTCCCAGTTATAAATAAATGTGTGACATTGTTATTTTCATCTCTAATTATTTAGAGATCACTCGACCCAACAATGAAGTCATGATGTTAAAGTCAGGAAATAATGAGGTTAAATTCTTCTTTCAATTAACAAAAATGTCAGTGAAACTGGTAAATCTTCCAAGAGATGAGATGCCTAAAGATGCTTGGAAATAGTCATGCCTGTGGCAACTACCAAACAACTCAGCAATTCACAAAGAAAAAGAACAAAACAGCATTGTACTCCCTTTACACCAGGCTTGGTATCTTCATTTGTGCCACTTTTGGAGTAATGGAGTAATTTGCTTCACAGTGGCTGGTATGGGGCTATGTTTCGGATTTGTGCTGAACACAGGGTTGATAATATAAAGATGTTTTTGTTGTTGCTGAGCAGGGTTCACAAAGAGCCAAGGACTTTTCTGCTTTTTGTACTGCCATACTGAGGATTAGATTGGGTGTGCATAGAAAAGAGGGAAGAGACACATCTGGGACAGGTGACCCAAACAGACCAAAGGACATCACACTCAGTATATAAAGTGGGGGAAGTGGATGAAAGAAGGGGGATATTTGGAGTGATGGTGTTTGTCTTCCCAAGCAGCCAAGCAGCACGTGATGGGGCCCTGCTCCCCTGGAAATGGTTGAACACCTGCCTGCCCAAGGGAAATGGTGATAGAATTCCCTGCTTTGCTTTGTTCATGTGCACAGCTTTTGTTTTCTCTACTAAACTGTCTTTATCGCAGCCCACGAGTTTTCTGGCTTTTACCCTTCTAATTCTCTTCCCAATCCCACCGGCAGGGGAGTGAACAAGCAGCTCTGTGGGACATGGCTGCTAGCTGGCATTATACACTGGCTGTGTTACAGCCATCTGCTGCATTGGTATAAATAAGAAAATCCCCAGTTGTATGCTCAGATTCACCACTATAACTATTACAGATGCACAAAAAATACAGCTGCCCCAAAGGAAAGCCCTCAAGGCATAGCAAGGCAAGATAATCTGAACCAGGCAACAGGAGGGGTGATTCTGTTTTCCTCCTGGCACCAAGCACCTGTGTGGGCCACACAGGTTACAAGGAAGGGAGGGGAACTGAGATGTACTTCATCTGTGGGTGCCACAGAGACCACTCCCTATTCAGAGGAAAGCACTGAGAAGTTTGACTTTTGCCAGAGAAATTTTGCCATGGGGCTTCATACCTCTAACAAGACAAAAAAAGTTAATCTCACAAAAATTATTTCACTATCAAAGCCCTGAGTTATCTCAGTTACCAAAACAGTTTTGCAAATTAACTGGAACATAAACTTACCAGCTGAACATTACTCAGGTGTTAGTTTACACTGCCTCTGCAACCACCCAGCCCCTGAAAACACCTGATTTCTTATGAAATTGAAGTGAGAGGAGATAAAATCTAGTAGGGTCTGTTAATGAATTGCAATTGGAGGTATCGAAGGTAGAAAGTCTCCAAGAGGTCTCCTAGTTCCCATCATCCAGTCACTTTTCTGTCAGTTTTATTTGTCCTATCGATTCATTTGATACCCTTTCCCTTTAAAATACTTCCACTCCTACTCATCTTCTT